CTAAATTTTTCATGTAAGAAAACAACTATCACAGGAGCATAACATACTAATATGATTCCCATAGTACCAGTATAACAGATTTTAATATAAATTTTGTGTGTAATTAAATTTTGTACGTAATTCAATGACTTATACGAGCGTGCCTGCTGCATACAGTACCACAGTCGCTATATATTTTTTTCTATCTCGCTTGCTCTTTATTTCCCTAGAGTCCCTAGATCAACAAACGCATGAGCGTTCACATTGAACGACGGAACGACTGTGTGTTGATTTTTTATTAAATTAAGCAACAAATAACTTTTTTTGTGCCACGAACTTCTCGCCGGGTATGAAGAAAAATCGTATACGTTACTCGGCAGGAAAATAGCACATCACAGTCCGCGTATTTGCCACTCGAGACGAAACCGACTGCTTCGTGGCGTAATATACTATTAGTTTGTTGTTAGTTCACTGTTTGAAAAGTAAAAAAGTAACTATTTATAGCTTAACTATTCCTGCAACAAACCAAAATAGCAGTCCAGAAATATCTTTAAAACAAATCAGTTTTTACAACTTATCTCATCTGTATGACTTGTTGTAACAACTATGACGTATGCAGAAACAGGACGTACTTTAGTTTACGTTTGAATACTTTCTATACAAACAACCTTTACAAAATAAACATAATAAGATAATCTATACTAGCTTTGAGAATGTCACAGTTAACTGATACAATCACGACCTTACAGCGACGCCTGCGACAAATACTACGCCCTGCTTCAAAGTCTGGACAAAAATTATGCCTTTTACCCTGGTTCGGTCGAAGACTATGTCTTTTTCTTAAGCTTGGACGAATACTAGCACGATTGACGATGAGTAACTATAATTAATTAGTTGTTTTTGAAGGTATGATTAAAACATCAGAAGAATTACACTTAATAAATAAACTAACAGCATTAAAACACATGTATTGAAAAATGTTGATTGAAGGATATATTATTTTAAATTATAAATTAAATTAATGAAAAGTCAGTATTTCTGTACGTTATTATGAAAAATACTCAAATACTGCGATATTAAATTTTGAATGTGAATGACGTTAGAATAAAATATTCATCTATATAATAAAATCATAGTTTGGAAAAAGTGGAAGAAACTTTTCCACTCACGTATAGTTTGAGCTTTCCCATTATTAGGTGCAATAAGTGCAATTCCCATAAGCTTATGTTTCTAATTGGAGACTTCTGCCTTTAAGAAAATTATGAAAAATGTTTTTATACACTGATAACATACTTAATCATTCATTTATTATTGATGCATTTTTTATTATTAGTACAATAATGAATCTAATACTGTAAATTATAGCAAAGTATTTCAGTGTTCGTTTTAAAACTGAAAAAATTATAATTAATACCAGGGCACAAAAAAGATATAGTTTTCGCCGAAGCTACAATAAGCATATTTTTCGTGTGGACCCAGGAAAAGAGCACGGCTTTTGACCAGACCCTGAAAAAAAGGCATATTGTTTATCTAACCTCGAAAAAAGAGCATAGTCTTTGTCCAGACTTGGAATACGGGCATAAATTTCGTGTGTATTCAAAAAAAGAGCACAGTCCTTGTCCAGAACTTGAAAAAAACATAGTTTTTGTTCAGACTGGAAACAAGAGCATTGTTTTCGTCCAGATAAGAAAAAAAGGCGCAGTCTTTGCCCGGGGCGTCAAAAAAGAAAAGTTTTCATCTAGGACCAAAAAAGGCATAGTTATTCAACTAATATTTCTTAACTTTGAGCTGCGTTTTTTTGACTCCCTTTGATGATCTATTAATCTTAAACAATAAATGGTTACAAATAACCCTATGACATACTTTCACTTGATATTAACGTTATAAAATTATGGCACGAAATGTGATTTAAAAAATAATAATGAGAATGATAATAATAATAATAATAATAATAATAATAATAATAATAATAATAATAATAATAATAATAATTATAATAATAATAATAAACAAGTTTAAGAACGAAGTATTTTAGGCAACTACGTTCAAAACTAACATCCGTTATGTAAGGAGTTATTAGTTTTGCTCAGTCAGTTTTTTGTTATTAAAAAAAATCAACGATAACGATGGAAAGATATACAGGTACGGAATTGTCTAGCACAACATTTACTGTGATAAGCTTATGCGGCATCATGTTGAGTTTAGATTAGCCAACAAATATTTATTTTAAAACTTAAAGTCATAGTAATTTTGCGTATAACTACTAGCTTCTTATTTCTTCTAGTACTAATTCAAATATTACTAGATAATAGAAAGCTAATAGTTTAAAATACACGCTTTCATAAGTGCACATAAAAACAAAAAAACAAATTATGGATCGTTTAATTTGTCTCTATTTCTGGGCTGGTGTCAACTATGTGCTTTTTATTATATTATTTGATTGTGAAAGGGTAGGGCGCTGGAAAAGGAAGCACTTTTTGTTAAAAAATACTAATTCTTACTTCTTGGCAGAAGCTATGTGTGATCGCACAATAGCATGTGTTTTAAGCCATTGTTACTAGAAGAGACCAAAGATATCTTGTCCACGAACAAGAACTCTACATGCTGCCACTGCTGACGCATTACCCTTATAAACTTGATTTCCTGAAAGAAGAGCCGTTCAAAATGACTGTGAATTTTATCTCTCCTCACTGCTGGCGCATGTTTTGTTTGAGTTCGACAAACTAGTACTTTGAATTGACTGATTAATGTGACATGAAATGACACGATTTTACAATCAAATATTATAATTAAAAGCACACAGTTTACACTTTAGCCTAGAAATAAAGACAACTTGAATAATTCATGATTTATTTTTTGTTTTTACGTGCATTTATAAAAACGTATTTTTCTAGTATTTTTTAAACTATTAATTTATTTTATCTTATACTTTTTAGTCCCTGATAACGAAATATTTTTAACATTTATACATTTACTTTAGGTAAGCGAATGAGCCCGCATCCTTTCCATCTCCGCCAGTACGTCTATATTGCGTGGTGTTTAATCTGTCAGCTTAAAAAAATCGAGCTCTTCAATCTGGAGACTTAGAACCACATACGCCTGTCCAGCCAAAAAAGTACGGGACCCTCATTATACTACTGCGTGGTCTACCATACAGCCTTGCATCTTGTCCACGATAGATGACCAACGTAAAATCACTGGGAGCATGCATCTATCCACCGTATCGTAGCTAAGCTTGGCTGGGAACTGGATGCCTATAAGCTGAAGTAAATGTTCACCGTCGTTTCCAAAATTAACTTTCATGGACGGTATGTCGGTTTCATACATTTGGTCGCATCTAAAGTGCGGCCAGACGATGTCCAAAATGAATCTGATACTTCCATTCACTAGCCTTTTCTCCTCGTCTATATTAGATCGCAACATGATTTTAGCCCCGTTAAAAATTCTTAACTTACTCGGTAGTCCACCCATTTCATTTATATAGCTGAAAATAATGGACTGCAATGAAGTATTTCTAAAGTTTCAGGTCACGTCAATAAGTTGGTCATAATCCTTTATGTCGTACATTCAAGTACCTTTATGTTCGTAAAATTCAAGAAATTAATTGTTGTACTTCTCTACTTGGTCATTTCTCTACTAGCTCTTTGTGCAGCTTTGGTAGCAGCATTATGCTCACGTTAGGGCAGCAACCGTATATTACGCTCTTCGTCCGTTTCCAAAGCTGTTGACTGAGTAATGTGTTCTTGCAAATATTGAAGTCTCACAACCCATTTTTCTTCTGACTGTGAAGCTCTTTTTTGAGAGTTATATTCACGCAAGTACTAAAGACGGACCTCTCACTCTTCTTGTGATTGAGATGAGGAACTTGAGATTCGTATTGTCTTCAACTTTCTAAACGTTTTTTTCTTGCTCTGGTGTCTCTATAACTCTATATTGTTTAATATACGTTTCTGATTAGCGTTTTTGTGGAGATTTTCCATTTTCACTGAGCTTTAAGGTTTTTAGTTCACGCTTTTCCTTTTTTTTGTAGTCTCCGTTTTCTTTGTGTTGTTTTTTTTGTAGTTTTTGCCATATTATTCACACGAGTAGTGAGCAATGAAATGGTCGATCCCTTCAGAGATATGTGTAAAGAGACAAGGCTATTTACAACAGGGTTTTGCACGGATTTCTGAGGCTAGAGCCATGATATTATTAACCACCCTCATGCCATTCAGCCCTCACCATGTTTCTCACCTGGGCTTGGGTGAGATCTTTTAAACAGGTCTATATACATTTGATACAGGCACCTATATTAATATTCACGCTATTCAATATATAATAGGTTTGTTCTAACCTTGAAACCTGATCGTGTTCAAAGTACATTACGTCGCCTTACTCACAAGTTCAAATACGACTGTGATACGATATGTCATCATGAAATGCCACTGCCTCCCTTCTGGGTTTATCATTCAACCTTGAAACCTAACCAGGGTCAAAGTTCATTCACAAGACTTTTCTAAGAAATCCAAAACAGCTATGATACAATTTTCCATCGAAGTTCCAGTTCATATCTTCCGGCTCCATCATCAGATCAGGTCGACAGTACCATATTATTGTATTGTCATCAGAACTACATACAGCTGCAAAATCAGAACTATATACGCTACGACGTCAAGAGTGGTCAGAACCTGTGGTAACCCACAAGTATCGTGATGTCCGAAACATTTATTGATAAATCCAACAGATGAATTAGGGTTTTACTGACTGTACATACAGTGGGATCACATTCATTAGTTAGGTACAAAATTTGAACATGTTACTTCTATTGGCCAATAAGATAAAATAACCTTTCCCATAAGTGGATTCTACGGCTTAAACGTAACAAATAGATGCCAGACTACTGTCCTTACGCAAAGCTTCTTTCCAGTATCGATAAATCAATTTATACTTTCAGTACTTAATGTAATGTTTTTAATGATTAAATGCTTGTCACTTTAAATATTAAAAATTATATGCTTTGCTTTCAAAAAAAATCGCTTACCTTAAGAAGTTTCCAATATTTACTCAGAATTTTATGACATTAGATCGTAGAAGAAAAAAGTGTCTACAACATGCAAGAAATACGAATCAGTTACAAATTTTATACTGTGTACTAATTTAGTCACTAAGACTTTTTAATGACTTTTAAAATCGTTCTACATATTCGAGAGATAGTTCGAGACAAATTCAAGAAAGTATGCGGTTCAAATTTTCTATCTATTTTTAAACGATCACCATACTTACTTAGTTTTACAAATGAATTCAGACTTTGACCATTTTCGGAATACTTGAAGTTTATTTCCCATGATGTGAGACTATCTTTTGAGCTACAGTTTTTATTACTACAAATGAGTTCTCCTTTACCAGATATGACTTCCAACTTCGTTCTCCATCTAAGAGCAAGCTAAAAATTACAATTTTAAATATGTATAATGATGTGTACATGTACAAATACATATATACATAAATACGTATTAATTTATTTATAAACTTTAACAGATTACTCCTCATCTAATCTTTTATAATTTAAAAACTAATTACTTTGATATTAACCACCTTTAGTGATCTATCATACTACTCTTTTCTCCGGAACCCTATAAAAACCTGCTTCCTTATCTATGAACAATGATAATACGCTTTAATTGCTTTTAACTCTATTTTTAATAAAGTGAGTACATGTAACATCATTAAGACCTATGAAAATTAAAAAAAATAAATAAATAAATTTTTCATTGTCTTCGGAATTAACAATTAACTATTTGTTCTTATTCACTTTCTAAATATTAATTTGTAAAGTAGGATTTTAGTAAGTAATATACGGTGTTAGACCGGTTTTCATAACCTATAACGTGAAGAAGTGCAAATCAACGGCCCATTAGGGCCAACAACTATTTTTTAGCATAAGGAACACACGGTACTTTTCAGCATTATTTCACTATTATAAGCTTTATTAAAGTTTATCATTTGACCAAAACGGCATGGATTCCATACAAAATTTTTTTCAAGTAGAATTACGCATCAACACACTACAGGACTTCTCTTAGTAAATCTTAGGCAAAGATAAGAGTCCACTAGTACATAATGTATATTACTTCAAAACACTCTGTTCTAAAATTATAAACATCGGATACTCAGCGATTTCTTAACATAGACCTGTATACCTGCTTCTGCGATCGCGTGACCTATAACTTTCTACTGTTGAAAAAGCGACTGTCACAATTTTAGTATTTTATACTGCGTATGACCTACAAAAAATGTCGTACAAGATTTTGACATTAACGTGTATCAATCGAGCATGTATCAATCGAGAAATATTTGATTAAGCTCTGATTAGTCTACCAGATCCAAAAGCCGAAGTGTCCGTCTTAAATGTAAGAGTATGAAAACTCCTTGCAAGAACTAAAATTCAACTCCTTACTTTTAACAAGTGCTCTAAACTAACTATGAAAGTTAGAGAGTTAGTTCTGTTTCGTTTCTAAAGCAAATGTAAGACTTAATTTAATGCCTAAGGTGTACATAAACACATGGATTTTAAGCAAATGTAAGATTTGGTTCGGTGACCCTAAGCTGTGTAAGAAAAATTCGATCAAACTAATTACTGTAGACTAACCTAAAGAAAAGAATTAAGAGAAACAAGAAAAAAAGGACCATCGAACGAAGTTCCAATATTTAACCACTAAAAACAAACAGCAAAAAATTAAATATTTTTATACTACTCTACCATTTTAAAACACAGCAAAAGACACCCATCATGAGTTATAAAAAAAAAAAATTTACGACGTAAATCTGTGTGTCATCCAACAACATTTTTAAGCTTGTATTATCAAAAGAATTTCGATAAGATTCCATACCAGATAGTACTATAAGTTCACTGTGTCATTTCAAGATGTGTGTAAAAACGAATTATAAGTTGAATCCTTGCACTTTGCGTGCTATGCAAGTAACCTTGTCAAATTGCTTTTGATAATTTAAGGCAAGATCAATCAACTATTGTATTTGATGTTACCTAACAAAAATATTTTGTACGTCGCTACAAGCATTAAAAAACTCTTGAACGACAGACTGATTCACTTTATGAACTTTTCTTTCTTATAATTAACGATGGGTGTCGTTTGCTGCGTTTTAAAATCATAGAATACTATGAAACAATTTCATTGTTTGTTATTTGTTTTTAGCAGTTGGATTTTTCGCAGATGATTGACGAATGAATACTTTTTGAAAATGAAAAAAAAAAAAAAATACCACATTGATGCTTATGTTTTTTGTTAATATTTTTTAAAACTAATCAAATTCTACAAGCCCACACCGAGTTTCGGATACACAAATTTTTGTCAGTTGCAAAAGCTCTTCAGAGGCTCTGTTCCTAATCGTGTCTTATGAGATTCCAATATCTGCTCTTGGACGACGTTAGCATAAGCTGCTGACAGAGCTCATGGTTTACAAGGATTGTCGTAATCATTAACGGTAAACAATAATTTTTTTCTTCCATGGGATTAGTTAATTGTACACACCTTTCCTCACTAGTACTACTAACAAGGGCACAGTTAACTGACAAACTATATTCGATTCCTCAGTCACCCAAATTTTGCACGGTACTAAATTTTCCATAAATCTTTAAACCTCAGATTTCGAGTAGGTCTAAATAATAACCAGAATAATCTATAATAGACCCTTTTAAAACAAATGATAATGCTAGTTAAATCATCAGGATTCCTTTTCTTGATCAAACAGCTAAGTGAATAGTTCATGCATTTCTTAAGCCATAAAAAAACACTAACATGGGCAGATGGTCTTGCTTATCTACATTGCGTCTACCATCTTTCATAATTAAAAAGAAGATACTGACATAATGCTTAATTTTCATTAATGAAACAAGGTTATTAACCTCCTCCACTCTGCGAAGGTGATTTAAAAAAAAGATTCTAGTGTCTTCGAAAATGAAACAATTATGTTGAGTAAAATTTATTTGCTGCTGCTGCTGCTACTCTCAGCAGATGTTTTTACTAGTTTCTCCATACCAGGCGCTTCCCAGGTGACAGATAGGGCACTTTTTAGTTTTAAGGACCACCAAGTAGGTCAAGGAGCTATTCCCAGCGTCGACGGGGGCCTGGAGTCAGAGCGTGTACGCACGACAAAAAGATACCACTATGAAGAACGTCAAAGCTATACTAGTACCCCAGGCGGAAACCTCTCAGAGGGAATCCGCCGGCAATTACGATCCGGTGAAAGCTAAGGTAATAGTCGCACGCTCCATGGAATCCGGGGGGGGGGACAAAGACGTTTTAGGTGGTCAACAAAGTTTTCAAAATCTTAGATGGCCATCGTTGGATAAAGGTAGAACACCAAACATTTTAAGCTTGGGCAGCAACGTAAGCCAGGAAAGCAATTTCAATATCTTCAGAAGCCAGACGCAAAGCGAGCTTGTCTACATGGAAACAAAGGGTGCAGAACTTAGGCTAAAATGGAAAGATGAGATTTAGCAATTTGAATCTGAAACAAAGAAGATTAAGAATTTCGGTGTACCCCCTCCACGGTATGCGTAACCTTGTCGAAGACCGTACTGCTTGCAGCCTAGAGCGGGTGAAGGGGCTTTAAACTAACGGTATACTTCCTTTCTTAAACTTTTCTGAACTCCTCCATCCTGTAACATAATCCTATTAACACTTGCACATCCTAACACTGACGTACTTCTGCGGTTTGGATGCTCTGGACCATTTGCGGGGGTTTGGCTGCTGCCTCAAACCCTGTGCTCGGGCAAGAGTAGAAGGTGAGACTCGATACGGTGACTGGGAAGGCCCAGGTATCTCTACCGCTCATAAAGTCAGACATTCATAAATAAAAAATATGTGGCTATCCTTTTAACTGAGTAATCTGGCCATTAAAGGACTATATGGAGGGCTTTTCCAGTGCATACCAGCCGATACTATCTAACACGGCTGAGGTTTATCAGTTGGCGGTTGTCTTCCCTGACTTGTGACCTGGGGTTGGCATGACACAGAAGAACCGCGCACCCACACTCAAAACAGCACCTTAGCTTACTATTTCAAGAAACTCCCAAAAATTGGTCCGTAGCCGAGGATAGAAGGCTTGCCGTGATTGCCGTGTGGTGCGACCTATGAATAGCCAAAGGAAGATCCTGGGTAGCAAGGCGATACCAAGGCTGCGTGCTGAGGTGACCCGAACTGTCTTTGGCTTCTGATGACTACAAGACGGAAGGCTAGATTTTTAACTAGGTCCAGTCAATCAACTAACAATGAAAAGGATGCGTGGTTTGGGGCTGGATTGAGGGGTGTAGCTTCGGTGTAAAGAAGGTCGACTTGGTCAGGGTCGGGGCTGTCAAGTGGTCCGCAAGGGAGACGGAGACGGGAAGTGTCCTTGTTGAACTACAAAACACCGCGCTGGAGCCCCACGATGCGTTCGCCATGGCACTAAAAAGTGCCGTGTCGGACGCGGGCGGCGTAAAAACCCTTGCCCCGCAACTAACTTGGGAGATCAGGGACGGGGGCTGCTTTGATGAAAGTGAGGCCCCTGACGTGGTTGTGCAGCTTTCCTCCAGCATAGTCAGGGAAAACCGTAGGGCCTACGTCAAGGCTTCTGCGACAGTGGCCCAAACCCTAGACAAGAAGGACCACCTAAGGCTTGGCTAGGACAACTGCAGGATGCGGCCAAAGTCCACAGTTGAGTGCTGCTTCAGGTGCCTGGGCTTCGGCCACATTGCGAGGCCTGACAGGACCAGGACGTGCTGGAGGTGTGGTGAAAAGGGTCGCGTGGCACGAAACTGCTCCAAAATAGAAGTAAGCTGTTTCCTGTGTGAGAACGTGGTCCCAAAGCCGGACACCAGACACGTGACTGCGACCGCCGGGTGTCGAGCGCCACAGGCGTCTGAAGGGCAGCTCAACAGAAATTGCAGTGAACCTGCAGGTAAACCTTGATAGGAGCGTGCTTGCACACGATCTGTTGGACCGGTTTTCCCCCAGGGTGTGGACTTGCTCTTTATAGATGAGCCGTCCCGCACGTTACTGTGTCAGGGCTTGAACTATGACAGGACTGGATGTGCGGCCATCTTGATCCACAGCGACAGGCTCTCCGTATCTGACACAGGAGGCGGAGACGATTTCGTGTGAATCAAGTGCTAAAATGTATTCTATGTGAGTTGCTAAATTTCCCCTAACTTTCCGATTAGCGTCTTTAAAGGGCGGCTTGCCGAACTAAAGAGTGCTGTTCGCGTGCGTGGGAACAATGGCAAAGTAGTCCTGGCCAGCGACTTCAACTCCGAGGTCATCGCCTGGGGGGAACCGAGAACCAACTGCAGAGGGTGAAAGGTGTCAGAGATAGCCGCAAGGCTAGATTTCATCATCATAGACTCTGGAAGTTCAGCAACGTTCAGGCGACCCGGAAACCGGG